GTCTATATAAATAACGTAATCATTGTATAGTGTTTATCATTTTTAAAATACCAAACTTCCTAATAACCATTTTAATGTACTTATACAGTTATTGGTATGAAATAATCTTAAGAAAACTAAAAAATAAGCCGTCACGGGACGCCTGGCAGATGTGAAACATCGACATTATTTTGCAAAAGTAATATGCAGAAAAGAACAGATTGCGATAGGAACTAAATATGTCATAAATCATAATGATAAAATAAAATATTACGATTTTTTTCAGATAATGATGACTGTTTATTTAATAAACATTTATTTTCATTAAATACAAAAAATTTAATAACGAATTTAATTCGTTTAATCAGTGACTTCGGTAATAGTGACATTACTGACATTCGATTTTGCCTCTGACGACGGTATTACTGTGACAATTGGTCGATGGTAGCTGAAGTATGTTACAAAAGTATTGGACATACACATAACATTATCAAGATATCTAATAAATACAGCAGTTATTGTTGTTCCGTATCTGGTGGTAGGTTCTCTTGGATTGTTATTAATTTGTAATTGAAATTCTTCTTGTAGAAACGTAATTAATGGCGTTGATTCATCTTCTGCAAAATTTACATTGATATCCCCAGCTAAAATCAATGGTAGTTTATCTTTACCCATTGGTTTTGAAAATTATTGAACCTCTGTGACTGTACGGAAATCATCTCTCCTGTAAAAATGAAATGATGTCATTTATTTTTTTATTTGGTGAAATGTACACAACAATCATCATCAACTCACTTCCATCTTCTAGTTTAACGTGTGAAGCACACATATCGCCAATAGATGTTTGGGAGACATGAACTTCTGTAGCATTTTTAACTACTAAATCCATGTTGAACAGTTAACATATTAAAGGCTCGAAATACCGACGACAGACAACAGGCGACCTTTATCGGGCAAAACATTTCGTATAAAAAGCGCCGGGAATAAAACCGACCCCCCGTAATATCCACGGTTAGGTTAGTGTACATTTCACCTAATAAAAATATTATTATTTTATATTATTATTAATATGGGAGAGAATCACACAGTCGATTGCTCATGGCGACGCGTCGCCACACCGTACACACTACTGCATAATATAATATACTACGTTTATATGATGGCGTTAAAACGGTTTAAGGCTAAACCGTTTTGAAAGTTAAAGCGCTCACGCTATGTAGTTTAAGAATTTAAAACCGTTTTATTTGCTTAAACCGGTTTATCAGATGTACATATAAACGTTTCAGCAAATAAAACGGTTTTAAATTTTTAAACTACATAGCACGAGCGTTTTAACTTTCAAAACGGTTTAGTTTTAAACCGTTTGAATGCCATCATATAAACTTAGTAATAGACTGTATATATATACCATCATATAGCGTGGCGACGCAAGAAATCCGTTTTACGTGCGGCTATAGATGTTTGAATGTTTCACATCAAAAAAAATTGTTACGTATAGTTAGAACGAATGATTGTTTGATCAATTGCTCTATTAACGTTATATACATATAAGTATATAACCAACCAATGGCATTGTTCTAGTAACTGTTCACAGCTATATAAATAAGCCTTTAATTGTAATTATAAAGTTACCTAAATCATGTCTATATTATAATTCTTCTTAAGTAACACTCACACACATTTTGTAGCTTGTCTTGCAAGGTATTTTTTTTTTTTTTTTTTGTTAACACTAAAGCTGTTATCATACAGTGGCAAACACTAAGAAATAAAAGGGGTATTATATTGAATCACTAACATATATATTGGCTAATATTGAAAATATTGATAATTTTTTCTGTCTGCAATTCAGTGGATAACATTTTGCGATGTTCTCTAGTACCTATAAGTATATAATAATTTTTGCGTTTATATTATATTGTAAATGAAACTATGCAAAAAATAGGTATTATAATAATATATACATAATTTAGATAATATAGATATTATATATTGTAATGATATTATGAATGAACTTAACACAGGTTTATTGTTCATATAAAATTTTATTGAAAATATAATTACATATATTTGAGATATGACAATTTTTTCTTTTAGGTTTTATAACACATAAAGTGATTTGACACATAAAAAAAAACATTCAACAAGGAACAAAGTGAATTTTATAACGATGGACTCACGGTTCTCCTTGTATCGGTCGGTTGAATACTTCACGGACGGTGACACTGTGGTTATGATCCTAACTTCTGGCAGTACGAACGAATAGATAGATCGGACGGCGGCGTGTATACGCTTCGTTATCGAAGTTTTTCTGGCAAGTAGGTAAATTGAACGGCGGCGTGTATACTCGTGATAATATACTATTATCAGCAGCGGAACAATAACAACTATACTGGTCGGCGGCGTATGCTCGGCGTTCACAATATTTTTTAATGGCAGCGAGTAGGTAAACTGATCGGACGGCGGTATGCGCGCGTTCGCGATGTAATACTATCAGCGGCGAAAAAATAACAACAATTATATTGGACCGCCGTAGCGTATGCTCGGCGTTCACAATACTTTTAAATGGCACGGTAGAAGAAAAAAGGAACGGACTCGCAGCGGCGGCGTCGAAAGGCGGCGGCGGCGGGTCGACTCGTAACGGCTCGTTTGACCTGGCTTTTAGACCATATCCAAGCAAGGTAGAAGAAAACGAAACAGAGCGGGAACGACGGCGATTATTCTTACTAAATTGTTTGACCTGGGTTTTACTCCATATCCAGTTGTAGAATGAATATCGTACATGAAAAAACTGTAACGAATTGTGTTTGTGTGCTGTTCACGGGGCCTATTTACTGACTACCACAGCTGCAGTGAACAGAAATGATGACTGTATGTGCATACTTTTTGTGGTACGCGGGCGCGTGTTTGAACTGATTCTCTTAGTTGATGCGCTTCACTGTGTAACTGTCGTTTGTGCATATTAATTACTTAAAAGCACAGAACAATATTAAAAGTAATCAATCATTACTGATACCGGTTATAACATGGTGCGTGCTGCATGCTATCTACATAGTATCAGACATCAGTGTTTGGCGTTCCAGGCTGGCTAACGAGTAACGATACCTAACCTAACCTAACCTTTTTTTTTATAGATAATTGCATATTGATCTACTGGTGGCGCGTCGGTACTCGGCGCTGTTGTGAACTCTTCGCGTTGTTTCATCACTTTACGCGCTAGTGCGTATATTGGATGCGTGTTATTGTAAAAAAATAAAAGCAGGTACTTTTGTCTCGTTACAATATATTATACAAAATATAGTATTCCAAAATTCAAATATATTTTCAAAGACCATTATTCTCGATTGTTTAGAAGAGTAGTTCCCAGGAGTAGGTACTTCCTACTTTGAAAAAATTCAGTCACAGTTCCATACTGTGAATAAAACGAGAAACATAAATGTTAAATGAATTCTAATTATTATCATTGATAATCAAATTTCATAATTTTATTGAACAAATTACAATATATAGTATAAGAATTCTATAAGCATACGCAGCCAACCTAAAAGTAATATGTTTTTTTAATTATAATAAATGATAAAAAGTATTTTTAAAACAGAACAATTTATTATTTTCACAATGAATATTGTAACATTGTAATTAATGAGATGCAAAGTGCTACTTATGTTACTTGTTAGCGAACTTCACAAATGTAAGGTTTTATTATTAAGTCGGAGACCGGGTTATGCGTATAATGCATATTGGACGTTTGCGGTATTTGGTTATAGCTGCAAACTTGCAGTGTAAGCCAAAAATCGTGACAAGCATATTTATAGGACTCAATTTAAAATTGACAAAAAATAAAATAATTCAATCTTATGAGCAATTGCAGTTGCAGATGAAAATTTTGTTTTCAGTTACGAAACCGTAATAGAACCTTTAAACAAAAATTAAAAAAGATAATGTCAAGATATCCACATGGTACAATGCCATTGGTTTGTTAAAATGAGCGTTAGGTACAGCATTTGTTCAAATATACATTCGTTAGATAGATGCCCTAAAGATATTTTTTAAAGCTTATGTTATACCTAGCCTAGCCCACAATACTATAATAGTATAAAACATTTCCATGGTGAATTAGTATTTTAGAACTTAAAAACTATATTCACCGAGGAAATAGTTTTACTAAGGATATGAATACCTAACCAAAATGGGTTTGAAATAAGTAAATTTGTTTATAAAATAAAATCAAAAACATTAATTAATATTTTTACTTAAATGTTGAAACTCAATTATGCTAGTTTAATAAGTATTTATTATTATATTTAGGTATTAAAGTTTTAATCGGGTAGTTGGAGATCAGTAACACCGATCGCAAACTTACATATGAATAATATAAATTGGCTAGACAAGCCTGAATAAGTATTTTGTTTTTTTTGATCATGGTTGGCATAAGTTTGAGTTTAATTTTTGATACGAAATTTATATTTTATTCTTCATCACTAAATGTTCCTATAGATTTATCGATAAGCATAAGCAAAAGTAACGTATTTTATTACACAGCTGTTCAACTTCTAAACATACTGTAATTTTGTCTGGTAAATAATATTACGAACATATTTTATTTTAGAAACAAAATAAAACAATTGACACAAATTCATACGCAGTAGTTAGTTCGAAACTAATATATTTCGTTATGTCAAAATGTCGCATAATAAAATATATAATTTTATATTAATATTTTTGTGCATTACATCAAACATTTTTTCAGTTTTATCAAAATTATCAAAATTAGAGAAAGATGTCAACCTTGCAGTACGTTCTAGTATATTTACCAGTGATCATTTGTCATATAGTATTAGACTGAAACTCGATATGGATTTAAATCTTTATGGATATTTGGTTCCATCTGCAGCTACAGAAACAAAAACAGATATGTACATGAGTGTATTTTATATTTATACGAACTGTTCGTTTGCTGAATGGCTTCAGAATAAACTATTTAAATTTATCGAAAAATTCCCAATATTTTATCAATCGAAATTTCAAAACACTAAAAACAATGAATACAATAATCGTTTTGTCAGAAAGAATCTAACTAATAAATTAATCAATATCGAGTCTTTTGTTATACCCTCCATAGGTATTTTGATTGACGGATCCATGTGGTCGATCAGCGTTAGTTGAGTGGCTCTTAGTGCTGTCGGAATGTGCGTTAAAACTGCTTCACAGTTGGTGGCCCACTTACGTAGTTCAAACCCACCTCGGGCGAGCAAGTGTAGTAGCTCCTGGTGTAGCTTGATTGTGGCAGTAATGTCATCTCGTCCGGTCATTACCTCATCCACATAGAAATCTCGCTGTAGCACCGCAGCTGCCTCAGGATGAGTCCCTTGCTCGTCGTAGGCCAATTGCTTCAGGACTCGTAAAGCATGGTATGGTGATGTGATAAGCCCATACGTCACCGTATTTAAGGTATAACTTCTTATTGGACTAGATTCATTTGGACGCCAGACAATACCTTGGTAGACACGATCGTCGGGGTGTACTAAGATTTGTCGGAACATTTGTCGAATGTCTGCGGTAATAACATAGCGAGGTAGACGGAAACGGATTAATATGTCAATTACCTCTTTCTGTAATTTTTGTCCTTTGTGAAGTAGTTCATTCAATGAGTTTCCTGTGTCCATGGTGCATGAACCATCAAACACAACACGAAGCTTCGTAGTAGTACTGGATGGGTTTAAAACTTGATGATGTGGAATGAATATAATCGGACTTGGACTAGTGGACTCTACTAATGTCATGTGATGGGCTGTTACATAATCACTCATAAAATCTTTGTAGAGTTGGTGTAAGGCAGGTTTGGTCTGCAGACTTCTCTCAACTTTCTTTAAGCGTTGAACAGCGAGCTGGTAAGAATTGTTCACTAGCGGTGGTTCTTTTACAAAAGGAAGTCTGACAGTGTAACGACCAGAGCTGTCTCGCGTAAATGTCTCAACAAAATGCTTTTCACACTGTTGGTCTTCTTTGGACATACATGTGAGGCGTGGTACCTCTTCCAGTTCCCAAAATCGGTTCACAAGTGATTCAACCGTCGTGGTACAACACGTGACCGACTTAAACATTGATAGTTCATTGTGGGGTTTAGATAATTTTCCACATACTATCCACCCAAAGATAGAGTTGTGTAGCGACGGCGTACCTTTGGGTCCTTGTATTTTACCATCGAGCATTATATCCAGACTGTATTCAGCACTTATGAGTAAGTCGATTTTGTTGGGCACATGGAATGTTGGATCGGCTAACTCAACCTGCTCTAAATGAGTCCACTGTGAAACATCCACGGCTGCAGTGGGTAGATCCACAGTTATCTTAGGAGACACCAAGGCAGTTAACGTCATTTGTTTGCCATTTGTCCTAGGAGAAATGTTGAACGTGGAAACTTGAGATGTGGTTGTAGAAGCATTTGATACACCATCAATTATCATTGGCTGATGCAATGTTTTTAAACCTAACCGACTTGCTAAGGCTTTAGTAATGAAATGTGATTCAGATGCAGTGTCTATTAATGCACGGCATAGTTCTGACCGTCCACTTGGTCCGTACACGCGCACCACTGCTGTTGATAATATGACCGTTGACTTTTCTCTTAAGGCACCATGATTAACTGCCACAGTGTCTATTCCACTAGATGTCGATGGTTGTGTCTTGAGAGTCAACGTGGGCATTTCAGAAGTATTGTTTTCTCCCTTAGAGTCACCAAAATGTAAAAGTGTATGATGTTTACCACCACATTCTTTACATGTTTTATCAGATGAGCATTGACTGGAAGAATGTGAGGCCCGTAGACAATTTATACACAATTTGGCCTTCTTAGCCAATGCATGTCGCTCACTCGCTGTTGACTTCATAAATAAATTACACTGATAAATAATATGATGCTGTGAACAAATATTGCACGGCTGCTTATTACCTTGTGCTGCAGTCACAGCATGAGTTGTTGCTCGACTGTTGCACTTGTTGGTAAGCTTAGATCTGGGTGTACTGGATGATTGTAGTTGTAATAAATCTAACACGTGTATTCTTTTCTCCATAAATTTACACATTTGTAACCAAGATGGAGACTCATAGGCAGATGATTCAATTTCCCATGCTTTTCTGAGTTCACTTGGTAAACGGGATGATATAAGGTAAATTATAATTGTATCCCAAGACTCAGTGGGTTGTTTTAATACTTTTAATGCTCTAAGATGTTTATTTGTTGTATCAACCAATGCCTTCAAGGAGCTAACAGCTTCACTCTGAATGTGTGGTTGATTGAACAAATGTTGTAAGTGTACTTGTAGAACAAGACGTTCATTATCATAACGGTTTGTCAACAAAGACCAAGCCTCCAGATAATTGTTACCAGTCGATGATAATGATGCAATTACATTAGCCGCTTCTCCTGATAAACATGATTTTAAATAGTGCATTTTTCTGGTGTTGTCAATGTATTTATTAACGTGAATAACAGATGAAAATTGGTCGTGGAAAGCATACCAATCTTCCAATTTTCCTGTGAATGTAGGCAGGTTCATGGGAGGTAACCTGATGGATTGTTGCCCTTGTTCGCTAAGTGCATTTTCGTTTTGAGGTTCGTGTGTAGTTTGCCTTAAGTCTAATGTACTTTGCAAAATCCCCTTGATTTTAATGAACGTCCGAGATACCTCTTCCAAGGCGTCAATCATTAACTCAACCTCAGAGTCCTCGACCAACAAGGACAGCTCATCGTGTGCATTTGCATACGTTGTAAACGCACTTTCTGCAAGTTCTAAATGCACTTTTATTTCGTGACTCGCCAGTCCCTCCGTTGTCAATGTGGTGACTATGTGTAACTTTTTCTTTATCAGCTTTTCCTTGTTTGAGAGAGTTTTTCGTAAAGTTGTCAACTTCTCCTCCATCTTGAATCAATTAGGTAAGTCAATACAAAATAGACGGAAAGCCGATTACGCGATTGTACAACGCACGACACAGACGGAAACGCACATGTAACGCGTACGAAAACCGACGACCGATGTATACGCGAATGTAACGCGCACGACACTTAGAATATGACCGTCGGACACGCGAATGTAACGCGCACGACAATTAGAATATGACCGTCGGACACGCGAATGTAACGCGTACGAAACCGACGAACGATGTATACGCGAATGTAACGCGCACAAATCTCGAATTCATATCCGGCCCGAAGGACCAATAAATGTTGGGAAAAAAAAGTAGATGCAAAAAAAAATGATGTAGGTTTTGTTCCTTTTATTTAAACAGTTCAACAAAAAGCCAAAAATCGTGACAAGCATATTTATAGGACTCAATTTAAAATTGACAAAAAATAAAATAATTCAATCTTATGAGCAATTGCAGTTGCAGATGAAAATTTTGTTTTCAGTTACGAAACCGTAATAGAACCTTTAAACAAAAATTAAAAAAGATAATGTCAAGATATCCACATGGTACAATGCCATTGGTTTGTTAAAATGAGCGTTAGGTACAGCATTTGTTCAAATATACATTCGTTAGATAGATGCCCTAAAGATATTTTTTAAAGCTTATGTTATACCTAGCCTAGCCCACAATACTATAATAGTATAAAACATTTCCATGGTGAATTAGTATTTTAGAACTTAAAAACTATATTCACCGAGGAAATAGTTTTACTAAGGATATGAATACCTAACCAAAATGGGTTTGAAATAAGTAAATTTGTTTATAAAATAAAATCAAAAACATTAATTAATATTTTTACTTGAATATTGAAAATCAATTATGATGGTATAATAAGTATACATTATTGATGGATAATAAAAATTGGCTAGACAAGCAATATTTTATAATTTCATATTGGCCACAGACATTGATCTGATTCTGCTTTACCAAATAAGTATTTTATTTTTTTTGATCATGGTTGGCATAAGTATGAGTTTAATTTTTGATACGAAATTTATATTTTATTCTTCATCACTAAATGTTCCTATAGATTTATTAATACGCATAAACTAAATTAACATATTTTATTACACAGCTGTCCAACTTCTGTATAGATTTATAATGATATGAATACCTCCTAATCAAAATGGGTTTAAAATAATTAAACTTATTTATAAAATATAATCAAAAACATTATTTAATAGTTTTACTTGAATATTGAAACTCAATTATGCTGGTATAATAACTCAATTAATAAGTATTCATTATTATAATTAGGTATTAAAGTTGTAATCGTTTGGTTGGCGATTAGTATTACCGATCGAAAACTTACATATGAATAATAAAAATTCCTATAGATTTATTGATATGCATAAACAAAAGTAACGTATTTTATTACACAGCTGTTCAACTTCTAAACATACTGTAATTTTGTCTGGTAAATAGTATAACAAATATATTTTATTTTAGAAACCAAATACAACGATTAAAACAAATTCATAAGCAGTAGTTAGTTTGAACATAATATAGTACGTTATAACAAAATGACACATATTAAACAATATAATTTTATATTAATATTTTTGTGCATTACTTCGAACATTTTTTCAGTTTTATCAAAATTATCAATATTAGAGAATGATGTCAACATTGCAGTACGTTCTAGTTTATTTACCGGTGATAACTTGTCATATAGCATTAAACTGCGTCAAAATATGGATTTAATTCTGTATGGATATTTGGTTCCATCTGCAGCTACAGAAACAAAAACAGATATGTACATGAGTGTATTTTATATTTATACGAACTGTTCATTTGCTGAATGGCTTCAGAATAAACTATTTAAATTTATTGAAAAATTCCCAATATTCTATCAAACGAAATTTCAAAACACTAAAAATAATGAATTTAATAAACCTTTTGTAAGACCGAATCTAATTGATAAATTAATTGAAATCGACTCTTTTGTTAAACGCTTCATAAATATTTTACTGCACAATTTTTTACATCTTGCTGATTCCAGAGATTATGATACGTCGTTATTAAAAACAATGTTATTACTACAATTTAAAATTCACTTTTTGACGCTCCATGTAGATACCAAACAACCACCGATAGATGATGTAGTAGTTCGTTCAATTCTTAAAATAATGAACTTAATTCAAACGTTCATGGCCACGAATTGTGATGTTCACACTTACAATAAAAAGTATTATAATAAATATGATAAATATATTATTAAATCATCACATTTCTTCGATTTCTGGATAACTACATCAGCTGACAAAACTGACTCCATTTTAAAGATTTTGAATATTATAAAAGAAATGGGTTTAGAAGATAGTAACAAATATTGTAATACAGATCAAATGTTGTTGGTAAATATTGTCGCCGAGAACCCGGATCATCCTGTTTTATGGGAGATTTCTCATGCAGTAGTTTATACAAATCCTAAAACAATTAAGATTTACCAAATACTAAACAAAATTGAAAAACGTGAGTGTGACCTTGAACTAATATTTTGGTATCAAGAATCAATTTTTAACGCAATTGTGAAATTAACATACAATAAGATAATAAAGGCTTTGCAACAAGGAACCCTTCTCAAGCCAGAAGACATTGTTAAGTCAATACCAAAATTCATAGAATTGCCGACAGATGTCACTGATTATTTTACAAACGGAATATATGATACCGATGTACAGAAAGAATTGCAGATTATTAATGATGATATTAAAGAAAAATTGATTAAAAAGATTACTGATCTTCGTGACTCGATCACCAATATAATTTTAATAACTTATAATACAACAAAAAATCAAGACGTATCTAATTTAGATGAATTTACAACATATATGAATTCAAACAGTGAAAAGTTTTACTGTTATATTTCGGTGTGTAAATTCCTACGAAATGAATTCACTAAATATTACATACCATTTATAAGAGATCTGTCAAAAGTCGAACACATTGTGTACGAAAATGTTAAAATCGATGAATTCGTTCGATCCGATGTAAATTATAAACTAACAAATAGTAGCAGGTGTCAATATGTTAGAGATTTGTACAGTCTCTGTCTCGAAGCAACCACATTTTTAAAAATGGTTTTAGACGCAGAATATGATTTGGTAGACGAATACTCACAGGAAGTAAATACTATTTTGACAACGATTAGAAAGTGGTCCAATGAGGTGATCGAACGGTGTACGTACAAGGGCTGCAGGAACCTTTTAAAAGTGTCATACCATATTTACGTTGTCTTGAATCCAAAGCACACTGATCATTTTAAATACAATCAAGCGCCGATGTTCATGTCATTGATAATGTCTATTTTAAATACCTATGGTATTGACCACTGTAGTCCACCAAAATTTAATTTCTTGTTATTCAACAGTACATATCTCGGTGCTATAGGCAATGATGCTGTACTTAATAAACGTTTATATTCATTTGTGCAGAGCCTTGAGGTTTACCAAAACATACCGATAGTTGAAAACTACTCAATTTTTTTAAATATTGACAATTTTTATAAAACATATCTTGAAGAAACGGCTTTGTTCACCAAAAACAAAGACAAGTTCAGTTTTTTTTACAAAGGTGAAAGGAAGTACATTCATGAAATTTACAACAACATACGTGCAATTATTTTGGACCCTGCGCATGTGTTCAAATTGTATGATATATATTTCAAATTCATTCTTTGTTCTATATTTTACAAAGTGTGGCTTTTCGCTAATAACTCAATCAAAGAAAGTCAGTCAAAATCTAATGTATTGCGGTTTGATGATTGTGATGACTTTCAAAATCATTATGATATGTTTCTCAATATTGAAAATTTTCCCTCAAATTTATCGATTTTTGTGTCAAATGTTCATCGATTTTCTACGATGGTATATAAACTATGTTACATAAGAGCAGAGATAACGGAAAATAACCACAAAAAAAATAAGATTAAAGATTCTATGACACTAAGCGATTCAGATAAGCTATATTTTAAAATATACAAATTAAAAAACAATATGAATAAGCAATTTGAAGAATATGGTATGTTTATAAGAAAAATATTAGAAGAGATCCCAAAAACGCCGTTAACCATAAAGGACAAATTTAAACGTACTGTTCTTGGAAAAACCAAAAAAACAGAATTGATAGAAAAAGTTTTCGGAGATATGACTGAGAATACCTGCGAACTAGTCAAGGCTGCTAACAATATGCTCTCAGAACTCATAATCAATATTTAATTGAAGGTGACAGGTCAATTTTGATTGGTATTATTTATGAAAAACTTGTATACCAAATAATACATTCAGACACGTAAAACAATAGATTTCAAGAACAATATTTTTTACCTTTCTCAGTTACAATTATTTTTCTTTCTCTACTCCCTATATAGTTGTAATATACAAATACGAATACATATTTTATTATTTTAAGGGATATTATGATATATTACCATTATATACAATATAGGAGATTGTCAGTTTACATTAAAAATTAAAATATACGTATAAGTTCTAGAGCTACGATTTTGATGACTTTTGCATTTTTTTCTTTAAGTGCTTTACAGCATTTTTGTGTATTTTTTAGGTCATTAAAATCCCAGCTCTATAATTTAACCAACCAATTTCATTGTTATAGTCACTGTTCACAACTATTTAAATAATCCTTTAATTGTAATTATATAGATAGGTACCTAAATCATTATAAATTTTATAAATCCAATCCAACAAATTACTAATAAGTAATAACTTAGGGCTGAAGAATACTAGTATACTTATAAAACTAAATATATGGATTCACTTATACACAAAAAATACAAAAAATATGTTCTAAAAAAGTGTATAATATGAAAAGATAAAAAAATAATTATCTATGTATAAAATAAAATCCAAAACATTAATTAATATTTTTACTTGAAGATTGGAACTCAATTATTCTAGTATAATAATTATTTATTATTTTAATTAGGTATTAAAGTTATAAATCGGTTAGTTGGCAACACTGATCGAGAAGTTACATACTAAAAATTTTCTTAAAAAACATGAAAATATCATTTTATATTGGCCACAGACATTGATCGTATTTTGCTTTACCATATAATTATTTATTTTTTTTTTTGATCATGGTTGGCATTACTTTGAGTTTAATATTTGATACGAAACTTATATTTTATTCTTCATCACTAATGATTTTATGGATTTATCGATATGCAAAAAAAATTAAACACATTGATAACACAGCTGTTCAACTTCTGAACAGACTGTAATTTGTCTGGTAAATAATATAACAAACATATTCTTTTTTAGAAACCTAATACAACGATTGAACAAATGCATATTCGCAGTAGTTAGTTTGAACTTAATATTGTACGTTGTGTCAAAATGTCGCATATTAAACTATATAATTCTATATTAATATTTTTGTGCATTACGTCGAACATATTTTCAGTTTTATCGGAATTATCAGAATTATCAAAACTAGAGGATGCTGTGTATTTTGAATTACGTTGTTGTATATTTACAGTTATTGATCATTTGTCATATAGTATTAAACTGCAGCGTGATATGGATTTAATTCTGTATGGATATTTGGTTCCGTCAGCAGCTACAGAAACAAAAACAGATATGTACATGAGTGTATTTTATATTTATACGAACTGTTCGTTTGCTGAATGGCTTCAGAATAAACTATTTAAATTTATCGAAAAATTCCCAATATTTTATCAAACGAAATTTCAAAACACTAATAATAATGAATTTAATAAACCTTTTGTAAGACCAAATCAAATTGATAAATTAATTGAAATCGACTCTTTTGTTAAACGCTCCATAAATATTTTACTGCCCAATTTTGTACATCTCACTGATCCCAGAGATTATGATACGTCGTTATTAAAAACGATGTTATTACTACATTTAAAAATTCATTTTTTGACGCTTCCTTCAGATACCAAACAACCGCCATCAGATGATGTAGTAGTTCGTTCAATTCTTAAAATAATGAACTTAATTCAAACTTTCATGGCCACGAATTGTGATGTTCACACTTATAATAAAAAATATTTTAACGATGATACATATTTTATTAAATCATCACATTTCTTCGATTTCTGGATAACAAAATCAGCTGACAAAAATGTCGTCATTGAAAAGGTTTTAAAAATTATAGACGAACTGGGTTTAGAAGATAGTAACAAATATTGTAATACAGACCAAATGTTGTTGATAAATGTTATCGCCGAGAACCCGGATCATCCTGTTTTATGGGAGATTTCTCACGCAGAAGTTTATACAAATTCTAAAACAATTAAGATTTACCAACTAATACAAAAAATTGAAAAACGTGAGTGTGACCTTGAACTAATATTTTGGTATCAGGAATCAATTTTTTATGCAATTGTGAAATTAACATACAATAAGATAATAACGGCTTTGCAACAAGGAACTCTTCTCAAGCCAGAAGACATTGTTAAGTCAATACCAAAATTCATAGAATTGCCGACAGATGTCACTGATTATTTTACGAGTGGAATATATGATACCGATGTAAAGAATGAACAGATTAATAATGATAATATTAAAGAAAAATTGATTAAAAAGATTACTGATCTTCGTGACTCGATTACCAATATAATTTTAGAAACTTATAATACAACTGAAAATCAAGACGTATCTAATTTAGATGAATTTACAACATATATGAATTCAAACAGTGAAAAGTTTTACTGTTACATTTCGGTGTGTAAATTCTTACGCAAAGAATTCACTAAATATTACATACCATTCATAAGAGATGTGCCAAAAGTTGAACACATTGTGTACGAGGATGTTAAAATCGATGAAATCGTTCAATCCGATGTGGATGATAAACTAACGGATAGTAGCAGGTGTCAATATGTAAGAGATTTGTACAGTCTCTGTCTCGAAGCAACCACATTTTTAAAAATGGCTTTCGGCAAAGAAGATGCTGTGAGGAACGAATACGCCAAGCAAGCAAGTATAATTTTGACAACGATTAGAAAACGGTCCATTGATGTGATTGAACGGTGTACGTACAAAGACTGTAGGGACCTTTTAAAAGTGTCATACCATATTTATGTTGTCTTGAATCCAAAACACACAGATCATTTAAAATCTAGTCAAGCGCCGATGTTCATGTCATTGATAATGTCTATTTTAAATAGTTATGGTATTGATCACTGTAGTCCACCAAAGTTCAATTTCTTGTTATTGAATAGTACATATCTCGAGGCTATAGGCAATGATGATGTACTTAATAAACGTTTAAATTCATTTGTGCAAAGCCTTGAGATTTACCGAAACATACCGATGGTTGCAAACTACTCAACTTTTTTAAATATTGACAATTTTTATAAAACATATCTTGAAGAAACGGCTTTGTTCACTAAATACAAACACAAGTTCAGTTTTTTTTACAAAGGTGAAAGGAAGTATATTGATGAAATTTACAAGAACATAACTGCAATTAATTTGGACCCTTCGCATGTGTTCAAATTGTATGATATATATTTCAAATTTGTTCTTGTGTCGGTATTTTACAAAGTTTGTGTCTTCGCTCATTATTCAGTCATTCCAAATCATCCCAAAAAGAATCTATTGCGGTTTGATGATTGTGATGACTTTCACCATCAATATAAGATGTTACTTAATATTGAAAATTTTCCCTCAAATTTATCGTTACTTGTATCTATTGTTGATCAATTTTCTTCAATAGTATATGATCTATGTTATCAAAGAGCAGAGATAACCAAAAATTACCTCCAAAAAAATAAATCTAAAGGAGAAATACCACATTTTAAAGTGTTTGGCAGAGAATGCGATTCAGATAATCTGTATTTAAAAGTAGGCAAAGTAAAAGAACATACAGAAAAGCAATTTGAAAAATTTGGTATATTCATAACAAAAATAATAGAAGAAATTCAAGAAACGCCTGAAAAGCCGAAAACCATAACTGAAAAATTAAAAGCTATTAGGAAACCAATAAAAACACAATTGTTAGAAAAAGTTTTCGAAGATATGACAGTGGATACTTGCGAATTAGTCAAGGCTGCAAACAAAATGCTCACAAAACTCATAATCAATGTTTAATTGAAGTTAATTGAAGTCAATTTTGAATAGACATTAGTTATGAAAAACTTGTGTACCAAATAATATCTACATTTGGAATCGTAAAATAATACTTGTCATAAACAATATTTATTAGTTTATTACCTTTCTCGGCTACAATTATTTTTGTTTCTCTACTCCCCACATAATTGTAATATACAAATAGGAAATAGGAATACATATTTTATTATTTTAAAGGATATTATGATATATTAACATTACATACAATATAGGAGAATGACAGTTTATGTTAAAAATTTATACTTGCATCTATTATATAATTTTGATATCATATGTGTTATTTTAATTTATTGTTCCTAATTTTGTCTAAAAATCCTGTAGTTTTGTCTGTATATTCTAATTATTTACCAAGAACATAAATTATTGTAAAAATATTGAATTTTAAATTTAAATTTAAATTAATGATTTTCATAAGATCTGTATTATTTGAGAATTTAGATGAGTGGATTGAAAATTTTGCTGAAAGTCTATTTCAACTTAATTCATCTTATCTAAATATAGAGTTTTTTAAATAAAAAATTTATATTGATATCAAATAAAATAAAATTGTTATCATTGTTTTGCTTCAGATTATAAAATCTGCGATAAAAAAAATAAAAATTGGTGTTTTATTATTAAATTTTTTTTTTATATATAATATAACTTCACCGGGGAATAAACACTTTGTACAATGACTTGTTATCGTAAGGTACCTAAGTGTACATACTGATTTATTTAAACTGATAATCAAAATATACAAAAAAAATATTCAAAGATGGCAACTCTGTGTGACCGATTTTGGCTATAAAACTAGGGAAAGAATGTTATTACTTTTTTCCCTCCAATTTTTATCACGTTCACGTATCAACGTTTCTTATAATGATTATCAGAATTTGCTCAAATAAACGTAATTATTAACTGTTAACTGTATACTTAAGGTAAGAAATAGTATACCATATTGTAGTATGCTATCCGTAAAGTTTGAATTTGGATTCAAATTAATGATTTAACCATTTTTGGTCGTTGTTTTTTGGATGGTTGCACTAAGAGTAGGTATGTGATAAGTAGCTAGTGATTAAACACCCTGTTCATTCAAAATATATAATTTATGAATAATTATTTAGAGGTAATTAATAATTTTAAATATTTACCTACTTACATAAAAAAATCATTTTTCAATTTCTATTCTCTCTTTTTTTTTCAATTTTTAGGCAGATAGTATAGAAGCTATTTTAAAATGGATTCCTTGTCAAACAAAAAGTACTGCAGATTTAATTACACTGAATATGATTTGTTGTTGTCATGAATAGTGCCAATGGTATGTTTGTCTACCACCTTATGCTACCCACATTCTTCATCCATGCGATGTATCAATATTCAAGCCATTAAAATCATTTTGGAAAAATGTTGTGCGTGAAAATAAAAAAGATAATGATGGAGAACACTTTAATAGACATACAAAAATTATAACTAAATCCAATTTTGGATCACTTTTTAAAAAGGCATTTGATAACATTACCATTGAATCTAATATAAATGGTTTTCGTGTTTGTGATCTATACCCATTAATCCTGATGCCGCAAATTACAACAAATGCATTTATAATTGTTTTAAAGACGTCAGTTATAATAGTGAACACGATAGTTTAAACGGCAATGGACAACCAGTAGCTTCATCTTGGGTACCTACAAAGTCTGATTTTGGCACCACAAAAAAAACCTGGCTCTATTTACTGGAAGCAAAAGTAGGTGAAAATAATTTGGAAAAAGAACCGAATTATTTAGAAAAAGTTTTAAGAATATGTGATGAGAGAATATAATTGATTGAATGTAATACAGAGAAAGTAGAACAACTAGTTGAGAATACGCTTACAAATTCCGATATTTTGTTATCAAACTTAAATATTTTAGACATTCCAATTGATGGTGTATTATACAAAACTAGCGATATTGACCCATCAAATATCACCCCAGAAACACAGGTTACATATTTAACCAATGAAAATGGGGAAAATGAACCAGCTCTAGAGGAAGGCAATGGAAATCGCTATATGGAGGCTACCTAGTAATAGTTTAGATGACTTATGGCTAAGACATATGAAATGGCAACAAGTGCTGAAATGATTAATCCTAACAAAAAAAAAAAAATACCTCCTGTACCTTATGCCATAACATCTGAACAGTGGAAAAATATTCACGAAGAAAAAGAAACTGGGAAAAAAGAAAAAGAAGAAGCAATTAGAAAAAGACGAGACACCAGAATGTAAAAACTGAAACTTGATGAAGAAAAAAATTGCAACAAATGAAAAGAAAAATTATGATAACAGTTCTACATCTAACTCTGAACCTGAACCTGTAGTTCCACTAAAAAAATTTAGGAAAAATTCTAACTATATTTCATGTGATTATAAAGTGGGAGACTATATGTTATTATTGAGTACGAAAATGAATGTTTACCTGGAGTAATTAGAAAAGAAAAAAAATACAAATGTACGAAATAAGTGCAATGGTTTGAAGCAGATTGGAAGTGGCCAGAAATCAAAGATTTGTTGTGGTATCCTACAAGTTCAACTATACAGCAAATCGTACAGCTCACTTTAGTAAACGTGGAAGAAAAAATATTTTGTGTACCTGAAATAACAGAATTGAGGGCAACAAAACAATTACCAAATACAGTTACATAGTTACCAGAGATATCACCTACTTACCCAGTACCATATGTTAGCTGTTACCATAGTTACCAGCCTAGTAACTTAAGAATATTATCTTAATCTACTTAAAAAGTTAAAAGGTACCTACGATTTAATTTTAAGTTTATCATAGGTACACTAATTTTAAGATTACGATTTCTTGTTTCTTAATTCTAGTATTAATTGTTATAAAAATATTCTAGTTTATAATTTTTAATTTTTAAATTTTAAATAAGGTAGGTAATATTCAGAAGAAATAAAATTAAAACTCTCTAATAGTTGTTTTTAAATATTTAAATTTTTAATAGATAGTTCAATAGGAACCTACCTACCTGTTCATTCATTGGTAAATCAAGTATATGTATTTATACTAAAATTAATAAAATATTTTTACAAATATATTACATTTACAGTATATGAACTAAAATTAAAGAATTTAAAAATATAGCCGACAAATTGTATTTTTAATGTTATTATAAAGTTAGAGATCAAATAATAACACGTTAAGTGTTCATTCAATGGTGAAGTTACACAGTTAATATACATAATTCTACACAACTTACCAAATGTGGCTATGTTTTGTATATAACTGCTTTATGTCGTTTTGATTGAGCATAATATACTATAGGGTTTGTCCACTGGTTTCGAGTTTTATTATTTTAACTAGGAATGTGGGTCTTGTAAATGTACAGGTTGAAATTTTACCGGTAAGGTTACTTGTAAATTAAAAGAAAAGAAATTACTGTTTACATTTTTTTTGACTGTTCAAAAATTCGAGTGATCACTTAATTTGTGTGTTTTTGAATTTCTTATCAAATAATCCAAATTATGATTTTTATAAAATTATAATGATCGATAATTGATAATAATTAAAGTGATTATTAAATAAAACATTTCGTTAACCATTGCGTCACTGCAGTGGTATGTGGTTACTGGTTAATATGACTTAATATGTAATGTTATCGCTTTATTTTATATTTTGCTTGCCTCCTTTACATAATACTGAGACAAAATTCAATAGGTAACACTATTGATCAATTTTTAATAACAATTTACCAATTTTAAATGAAATGTGGTAAACTTACAGGTAAAATTGTTCTGTAAATTACCAACAAGCTTATTTACGTAAAATCCACTTTTCTAATTTTAATATAAATAATATGTTTTTGGCCTGGTTACACGATTAGTGTTTCTGACCGATTTTTCGTAAGGTTTTCGTTGTCCTGGATACACATTACCAAAAAAATGTTTTATTTATGATTCATAGATTTTCCTTGTAGAGGACAATGCTCAAATTACTTCAACTTATTGTTCATGGAAACATCGAAAATATAAAAGGTCCGACTCAATATCAAGAAGCCAAAACTAACGCAAAAACTATGATTTAAGAAAGCATCATGCTATCGTCCATTTAATATACCTGTCTACCTCAGATTTTGAGACGCACTCATTAAGATTTAAGACACTGACCTTTTAGAAAATATTTCTTTTACAAGCGTTTCAGCCGTGACGATATAGCTGCGTCAAACGCAACGTCACATTTCCGCATTACCAAATGTTAACAAATTTTCTAGAGCTATCGGTTTTTTTTCCTAAAGGATTACGAATATTTTGTTTTACTGGTGATGATATTGAAGCACATTGGACATGGTCAGGTTAGATCGTGGCCGGAAACGTGGTGACGATGACTTATATAATACTACCTATACTTAAACAGCATATTATATTATTATCGTCAGCGAAATGGTAAAAACCAAATGGGTGAAAGTATAGGTACCAAAATAACTCCGCTGTACAGATGTAGGAGTCGAGTCTACCTCGTTATTTGATGCGACATGTATTCGATTAATTTAATGATAAACCTTTGTATAAGATAAAAGAGAACCATTTAAATCGAAGACCGTTTAACTTTTTGATAACCAAACAATAAAATTATTTTAAAATTAATATTAATTATAATAAAATTAATGCCAAACGCCGGGTAAACGTATCCCAAATCAACATATATTTTATTCTGTTGCGTGTTGTTATATTATTGTTTTCTATTATTGCCATATCGTTGACGACTTACAACAACTCATGGGCGTTCTCACGGGGGGGATATGGGGGATAGATCCCCCCCCAAGGTTCTTTATTTTTTTACATATTAGTAATACACGTTTTGTCTACTTTTGATATGTGTTTGTGTTTTCAATATTGACTTGGTAGTTATTATTTTTTTTTTTTTTTGCAATTTTTCTTTATCGTGATTACTGATTCCACCAGCCATAAACAATATTATTATTTATCACTG